TGATTTGTCAAATCGTTAAAACATTTTTTACTCCCTATTTAAGTCTTTACCATATACTAACTACTACTGTAAATCTTGCGTTTCTTTCTCTTCAAGCATAGCACTTAATCCTCCAACTAAAGAATTCCCAAAATCAATCTTGACAAGTTTTCTCCAATGATCGATGCATTATCTTCTTCAATTCGACGTTTACCTTTCTTTTGTCGTTCTTCACTCTCCATCTTTAACATATCTGCATCATCCTCCAATGTAACTTTTTCTGCTGTTTAAACCTCATCTACGTAGAATCCACCACCAATTACTCTGTAATCCTCGGTAGTGAAAGACCTTCTTGGAGAGTATGAAGGTCTTCCACTCTATAGCGCGATTCTTTTCTTATTTCAATTTTTTAGACCTCCACCAAATCTTTTGACAGAATGTTAATTGTTTTACTTCGGATCTTTGCAAATCTTTCACTAAAGGAGTAAAAAAGCCTCCGTTTGAAGTTGCATCTTCATGGAAAGAAATAAAGAAAGAAAAGGTCAAATTGTCGTATATATATACACATACTTAATCATAAATATATGCATATCAGAGAAACAGTTTATTCATACACCAAACAGTTTATTCATACACCAATTATCGGCCACGATTACAAAACATACATGAACTACATATCTGTACGAAGTCATACATCAATTCATATAATTCGACTAAAACATACATTGCTAAGTCAACAAGTGTTGAGTCAGCTGCCACGTCACGGAATCATCAATAATCAGTTGACGTAGGAGGTGAATCATCAACCACGTCACATGCCTATGCATATCATACACCAATACTTGGTGTATGAATAAAGCCATTTTCTAATGCATATCATATAAAGATGAAGACCTTGCGCTTTTCAAACTACTTCAAGACTAGTAGTAGCAGATCATCTTTCTTATTGTTCCAACCAAACTTTTCCAGCACAGCCTTCACAAAAATAGTGATATTACAAAATCGGAACTTTGGACATTGTGTCATAAACTAGTATTAGTTTTATGAAAAAAAACCGAGTCCATTGGCCAAATCATGATGCTTTTTGTGTTTCTATTTAGATTTCATTAATGTTCGTATTTACGGTTTTGGAAGGTATCTAGTCAGTCTGTCAAGACGGTTCTTCTATATTTGTAAACATCTCCACAAACCCGGTGTAGGAAGAGAAGTTGGAGGAACAACTGGAGTTGCAAAACGAGTGATTACGGACCAGATTTCCCGAGTTCTTTCTCACCACCCGCAGCATGCTCTTCTGACGAACAATAATTTTGTT